ACTTTTCCCATTTATTTTATTAGTTTATAAAAAATATATATTAATTTTTTATTTTACTGAACAAAAAACAGGCTGATTTTTCATTTCTCAGGCAACCAAAGAAAGACGCCGAAGCATCCTTCAACATTATGCGATATTATGCCTCCGATTCCGATATTCCAATTCCGAACGTTAGGATCCTTCCTCCGGCTAACGATCTGGCGAAAATCCGAATTTTTATTTCAAAATCACGTCAAGATTCTTGGGTTTCAATCCCCAAGTGGAACTAAAACGATTGGTTTTGTCCACACAGTTGTAGATTCCGGTAACATAGAGTTCCAGCAATACCCAGATCAACAATCTGCTATTGGACTGCAAAACACCCTCAGAAATCATAGAAAAAGCTCGTTGGAAGAAATTGAGTTAGCTCTTGACCAAGTCAAGATTGCAGTGACTGAGGATTTGATATTGGATGTGCTTAAGCGTAACAGTTCTGATTGGAAACTGGCTTATGCATTCTTCAAATGGGTATCTAGAGAAGTTGGTGATTCACTCGGTGCTGGCGTTTATAATGGGGTTCTGGATATTCTTGGTAAAATGCATCGTTTTGAGGAGGCAACCCAAATGTTCGATGAAATGTCAAAAAGAGAAGGAATTGTTAATGAGGACACTTACAGGGTTTTGCTTAATAGATACGCTGCTGCGGACAAGGTGGAGGAAGCGCAGGGTTTATTTCACAGGAGGAAAGAGTTTGGGATTGAGCATGATTTGGTTCCATTCCAAATGCTTTTAATGTATCTGTGTAGGTATAAGCATGTAGAGATTGCAGAAACTCTGTTTCACTCTAAAAAGGCGGAGTTTGGTTTTGATATAAAGACCTTGAATATTATTCTCAATGGATGGTGTGTTTTGGGGAATGTGCATGAGGCGAAGAGGTTTTGGAAGGACATAGTTGAATCAAAATGCAAGCCGGATATGTTTACATTTGCAACTTTTATAAAAGCATTGACAAAGAAGGGGAAAATAGGCACAGCATTGGAGTTGTTTCGAGGAATGTGGGATACGGGGTGTAAGCCGGATGTGGTGATTTGCAATTGCATTATTGATGCACTTTGTTTCAAGAAAAGGATTCCTGAAGCATTGGACGTCTTCAAGGAGATGAGTGATCGAGGTGTTTTCCCAAACGTCGCTACTTACAACTCACTTGTCAAGTATCTATGTAAGAACCGAAGGATGGAAAAGGTCTATGAGATGTTGGATGAGATGGAAGAAAAGAAAGGAATGTGTTTGCCAAATGACATTACTTTCAATTACTTGCTCAAGTCCTTGAAAGAACCAGAGGAAGTTACTGGGGTTTTGGAGAGAATGGAGAGAAATGGATGCAAGATGACTGTTGACACATACAATTTGATCTTGAAGTTGTACATGGATTGGGATCATGAAGAGAGAGTTGGATGTACATGGGATGAGATGGAGAAAGGCGGATTAGGACCAAACAGGTGTTCTTATACCATCATGATACATGGGCTGTATGACAAGGGTAGGTTTGGGGATGCTCTGAGTTACTTTAACGAGATGACATTGAAGGGAATGGTACCAGAGCCAAGGACCAAGATTTTAGTGAATACCATGAACATCAAGTTGAAAGAGCAAGAAAGCAAAGGAGGAAAGAAAGATGCAGTAAACAGTGGCAGCAAAACTCCACACTCAAGGCGGAAAGAGAGAAGGGTGAGAGCTGGGTAACACTACTTTGAAATTGTAGCTGCCAAGCTAACTAAACAACCAGAGCAATTTTGTTGAAATCATTTGAGGAGCATGCACTTTTAACTAAAGCTACAAGCTCAAATGCAACTGGAAGCCCTTTCAGATGTAATAATATTTCTTCAAGTTATTATTATAATATAATTTTTATAATTGTTGAGCTTGCTCTTATCCCACATTTTCCACTAAAGGTGCAAGAAATTTTCATTTTTCATGTCTTCTTTCTCAAGATTGGTTCATTAGAATAAAACGAAATTCTATTTTAAGTTCCTTAAATTGAATCTGCAGAAAATGGAGGCCAAATAAGAAAAACTACACAAAATTGATTAATGATTATAAAGGAAATGTGGGTCTACCAAGATTTCATCTGAGGATAGAGCAGAAATTTCCGAAACTACATTTGCACAGAGGAAGTACAATATAAGAAACAAAGAAATTAATCCCTATATCTTATAAGAACATTTCTGCACTGTCCTCTACACAGCACTTGGGACAGGAGCAGGGGTGTACCAGCCATGGTGAATCTCGACAGCCTTCTTTCTCCTGGCAAGGCGGGACTTCCTGCGTGCTCCAGTGTTCCTATGCAGGGTTCCAACTTTTACTGCTTTGTCAATCACTGAATAGGCCTCTGCGATCAGTTTCTCAATCGACAAGATCTCTTCAGCTTGTGCATCACGTTTCTTCCTGAGCCCATCCAGTGCTTCAAAAGCCTTAAAAATGAGGAAGAAAAAGAATACATTTACAACACCCATCAAGAACATCATAAACCATTATCAATTATGTTAGAAAATTTCAAAAGATGCAGTTACTGCTTTGCTCAAGCTGGTCACTGTTGCCTGTAGTAACTAGCTTCAATATTAAAGACCTACATAACTAAGTGCTTAAGCAGAATGAAAAGTAAAAATGCTGGTTGTTTTACTCAAATATCCATTAACTAAAAATGTAGATAACAAGAAATGACAAACAATTCTCTCCCTTTCCTGGCGTCTAAGAGAGAGAGAGATAGAGAGCAATATGAGAAATGCTACTGACACTCTCTTTCAAACATTCTCTGTGATTGGGCCAAGTGGCACATAACAGTTGTGTGATTGGTGATTGCTTAATGGAAGATGTTAACATATTTAAAATTCAAAATCATGACCAATCACATCAACATTATGTGCCACATGGCACAATCATAGGGAAGAGTGATTGAAAGAGAGTGTAAGAGAGAGTGCCACTAGCATTTCTCAAACAATATTTCACTGCTAGAGAGGAAACAAAAGAAGAATTCAGAGGCTTTGATCACATTAACAAAAATTCAATTAGGGAAGAAACAAGGAGAATCATTACCCTAGCCAGTGTGCCTAGGAAAGCTGTTTATTACATTAATTACATTTATCATATTCAGTAAAGCATAATACAAGTGTTGCTAATCTCTTATTAGCACCCACTACCTTCGCTACAAAATTAGCTATTTGTTTCCATGCACTGAAATATCAGTAATACTTTCCTTTTCCCACCATTTTTTCCCATGAAGGTAAAACTGGTTCCTACTGTCTACAACCGTAACTATAGCAGACTTTTACTCACTAATAAACATTTCACATGTTGAAGTCTGTGGAATGAATGTTTTTGGACCAATCAACTTAGTGATATCATACATGCATGCATTGACATTGAACAACATTCTTCAACTAAATTAAGTTTAGTGAGCAATAGGGCGCATTCCATAAAAAAGAGTGAATCTTGCATGTCTTTATGGCTGCCTAAGTTTAAACTCAAGGATTATTATTTTGTCTAAGGAAAAGAAAGCTAAAAACCAAGAGGACCTATCAGGAAATACGTTGGGCTTTATTTCTACACCATAGATTGCATTTTGCATCCATGAGATCCTGAGAACATTCGATAAACCACAAAATACTGAAATCAGTGTCTTTTTCTAAGGCTATCAGGGCTCTAGAGTTACTCTCTAAAAGAATGCCTTGTGAATCAGCCAGCACCCAACTAAGATCTTGCTTTCAATCTTGTTTCATAATTCAGAAAGTGCATACTTGCAACACATTTAATATAATACCATTTTAACATTGGTACAATTATTCCGCATACAGCATGTCTCCATTAACTGCTTTCAAAAGATCTCTCACTATTTATAGGCACTCACCATACTACAAGTGACAACATTTCTACACTGATCACCCTCCCAAATAATCAAACGAGATTCAATTATTGTTGCATTGTACTTAATCCAAGCCATACATTTTCTTCCTCCTAACTCAACAATCTTGCATACTTATTATTCATCCACTCCAAGCTCAAACATTAAAAACCAGATAAAAGCTCTTTAACTTTTTCTTCCTCCAACATCCCATATATACAAAAACCATGAAAGCACCCAAGGACAAATGCATAAATTGCTAAAAGATACAGCAAAAGCACATTAACACAAATATACAATACCAAATTGCAGCAAATTGTACCTTCCTCATCCGAGTTCTTACTTCAGATTTCCGGGATTTGTTGTAAATGCGCCTTTTCTCAGCTTGTCGAGCTCTCTTAGCAGCCGAATCAGCCCTCTTCTTTGGTGAAGCCTCGCAAACCACAGCATGACGAATTGGCCTCTGAGAGGTTGTGCTAATTGACAGACTCCCTGAAATAAATATTCAAACCTCAGACCATTCATCAAGCAAAAACCGCACGAAGTCGCTGCAAACCTCAATTGGAATCAATTTACCTAGAAAATTAAGGATAACACAAGAAATTATACCAAACTGAAGTTTCTAGCAGTGCAAGCAACTAGCTCAACCCCATAATTTTATTCCACTGTATTAAAAGGATAAATGGAACCCATGTTTCGTAAGATGGAAATTTACAAACTTGACAAGATTTTCCTCGAAAATTTCTCTCCAAACAAACAGGGGTTCGAAACCCAGACAGAAAAAGAAGTGGGTATTGAATAAAATTTGAAATAATGACAATGGCATTACCTTTTGAAAAGACACTGTGAGAGATGCTGTTGGAGAAACTGAGAGACCTAAAAGCGCAGGAATTTTGACGCAAAGAAGAAGTAGAAGAAGACGAAGACGCCATATCGTTCCTGAGCGAGAGATTTCTGAACTTGGAAGAGACGGCCAAGCATAGAGATATACAGTTAGCTGCCATTTTTCTCTCTTCCTACAACTAACAAATTTGAGCTCTTCAACAGCGTTCTGGCTTTGCTTATCCAATATATCCTTCAAGGAGAGGAAGGAAGGTCCATTGGATTAAATTCCTATATTGCCCCGGTGTCGTTTTGGTTAACGGAGCCGTTATGTAGCTAAAAACGACTCGTCGTTTTGATGAACCTTGACTTTTGTCAATTTTATTTACTTACTAAATGCCAAGCTGCGCTCTTTACTGCTCATCCAAGACTTGAGTATAAATTTTTGTATTAATAATTAATTAAAAGAAATAGAATTTGTTAATGGAATCTCAAAAAAAAAAATTTTTAATTACTTTAAAATTTTATTAGTTTATTAAAGCATTATAGAAAAAAAATTAAAATAAGTTCAATTTTAATTTTAAAATAAGATATTTTAATTTGTTAATAAAAATTTATTAAAATCATGTAAATTTTAGACTTTTTTTTCTTAATTTTTTCAAAAATCTAGTTGAGAAACATTTTATATAACTAAAGATATACATATTTTTAAAGAATTCTATTTTATAATTCAAATTATACCAAAATAAAAAATAAAACCATTTGATAAGAGAATAACCAATAATATAAGGTTATACTCTCATCTAATGATTAATGTAGTATAATTTAATAAAATCAAAATCGTGCTACATTTTTTTTATAATTTTATCTAAAACTAAAAAGGAAAAAAGTAAAAATAAGATATACTAGTATTTTAAATATTAAAATTCTTGTGAAATTATTCAAAAAAAAACCTTAATGAATCCTTTTTATTGTTGATTAATTAAAAATATTGTAATCTTCTCATCATCACTTTTAATATTTTAATTATTAAGATATCTTAATTTTTTACAATCTCAACTAAGTGAGATTGAAAATAATCAAAACATGTTGATAATTAAAATATCATGGCTAATAACGAATAAATTAAAATACCTTTAATAAATCAAACACACGAAAAAAAAAAAATCATTAAAAACATTTAAATAATTTCACAAATCCTAACATTTTAAAATATTAAAATATTTTAATTTTCACTTTTCTCTTATAGTAATCTTGAAAATATCAATTTTACATAAATTTTTTCATAGGAGAATTTATCATCAATGCCGGATTTCATTTGGTAATGGAAAGGAAAACTCAGGTTTACACCAAGAAATTTGGAATTAGAAAATAGTTAATTATCTCATGAAAATGGCATTTACATGTCAATTTTGCAGAAGTGGGGTCATCCACCACTTGCAAAATCATACACTACTTCCATACTACATGCAGGGATTCTGAGTTTCACAATCAAGAAACATTTGAAGAACAGTATCACACATCAAAACGATGTTTAAAGCTTGCCTAAAAGAAGCCACATGATACTCAAAATCTCTCGGCTGTCATTACTACTGGTTGTGCTTCGGATTGCTTTCTTGCAAGATAGGGTCCCCTGCGAACGGCTTCTTGCAGCTGAGCACAAATAGAGAAGAAACTTAAGTACCGACGAGATTTTAAGAAGAAAGTGATGATGTTTGTCTCCTGACAATATTCTATTTTTGTAGAACAGACATGAGATTGAATGGTTTCCATTTGATAGGGAAATGGTACACGCACCATGCAAAGTTACACAATCCATTACATACTGACGATTTCTGCTATTTGTAACGTTAAAACTGATGGTTTTCAACAAAGTGTGTAACTTTGCGAGATGTATGTATCATTGTCCCATTTGATATTTTAACATTTTCAATCAAAAATCTTACATTTGCAGCTATTCCAGAGAGGGAAGACTCGTTAATGAGTTTACTTGACAGGAAAGCATTGTGGATTGCCTTGCAGCAATTGTGTCTAGCCTCCATGCCTGTAATTTTTCACTAAATGGTTAACAGAGATATTGAGGAGGAATGTAATTCAAATCCAAGGCCTGATGAATGGCAGATAGCTCTATTACTAACATATTCACATATAAAAAATAATAGAAATTAAAAAATAAAAAACAAAAACTACTCAGGAATTATGGTGATTAACATAAAGATAAGAAAATAGACCTATTTTTGTGGTTTCAGCTGTTGGATCAGTAACCATATTTATTATGTCTTGTTTTGAGCAAATTTCCATCAGACACCATGGCCGAGCTACCAACCCTGTTATAACTCTGTACCCCTGAAAGTGTCGAATATATAATAATACCATGTTAGTTTCTTGATGGAGGATTGTTATCTAGCAACTGCATGCATCAAAAAGCAAACAATATTTTCAGAGTGAAATAAAATACAGTGAAAGGATTGCAGGGTAAGTATTTCCTTTTTCTCTTGGTGAAGTATAGCCATGTGAAAGTAACAAATTCCAACAGAACTAAACTATTGGGACCACCTTTCCTACCTTAGGGTACAATGAGTGTGAATAAAAAATGAAAAATAATAATTTATAGGAGAAAAAAGGGAAATAGGATTACAAAGGGTCTTGGGACAAAAACATTGTAATATAACCCAAACTCTTCTGGAACCTTTCATTGCTTTGGCAGGCAAATAGAGCATTAATGAAAATCTACAATCTTATGAGAATCCTTTGTTTATGGTCTTCAAACTAGAAACCCTTAAAAATTACTAAATATTGATCCACTGTAATGGTAAAAGAAGACTACAACAATAGAGACATAACAGGAAAATAGTTAATTGAACATTAATAAACTCCAAAAATATATTGATCAGGTAGATTTAGCTAAAGGAAACTCCCCTAATTTAGCACCTGAAAACTGACAGCTTAAATGGCTAGCCTAAAGTATACATTTAGCTCCTCACCTTAATAAGTTTGAAGTTTTTAACTCCTCACCTTACACTATAAAGTTTTTAGCCCCCGAACTTTAAGGTTTGAAGATTTTAGCCCTTAGACTAACGGAATCAATTATCTGTTAAAGTGAAAATAAAATATTTACAAAATCAATCTTCAAAGATTAAAAATATAATAATTTAGTTCTAAAAGTTTAAAAATTAAAAAAATTAGTAGATGACTTTGCCACATACACAAAACAGTATTATATATTTACAATTAAATTGAGTGATTAGCTCAATCCAGAGAAAGAAATTTTATTGAGATTAAAAAAATTCCATGACTGTATTCTTCTAGTCTCTTAGACTTTTTGTCTTACCTTAGCTAAGGAATTTTCTTTAATCTTAGTAAGAATTCTTTTTTCAAATTGAACTAATCACTCGATTTGATTATAGAAAACTAATAATGTTTTAATGTATGTGAAAAAGTCATTTATTAATTCTTTTTAGTTTACTAATTTTTTAATTTTTAAACTCTTAGAACTAAATTGTTACATTTTTGAGGACTGATTTTGTAAATATTTTATTCTCACTTTAACAGAGAGTTAACAGATTCCATTAGTCTAGGAGTTAAAATCTTCAAACCTTTAAGTTTAAGGACTAAAAACTTCATCGTATAAGGAGAGGGGCTAAAAACTTTAAATATAATAAAGCAAGTAGCTAAATGCATACTTTTGCACAGCTTAAATTGGGTAATTAGCTTAAGTCGGACTGTAAACTAAGTGAAATATGAATAGATAGATCATGAATCTGAAAATCTCACCGCCAAACGAAATTCTGAGGCCTGTTGAAGAATTGATAGAAATAAACCCTGCCAATCATGCCAAAATCAAAGAGGAAAATCACTAATGCTTCCTTCGTGTAGAAAAGCAAAGCACAAAAGTAAACAAAAATGCACCCACAATTCTACTGGAGAATATGCAGTCAAAACAATAGTACAAAAACAACCAGCCTAGAGAAATAAACAATCACGCTTGTTGTCAAATGTTTATATAATTATTGACTTTAGTAGAGGAATGATATGTCTTTACAAATAAAGAGAACACCCAAAATTTCAGCTCCATTGATTTTGCAAAACAATTTTTTTGTATGGAGAATAATCTGTTGAAAACAATTTTAGGATTCAGGAAGAATTAATATCTGTTAGGATAGAGAATAACCAGTGTGGTGCCAATCAAAAAAAAAAAAAGAATAACAAAAATGTGGGTTGCTAACAATGATACCACAGAACTAGTTGAAAAAGTCATAAAAGGTGATGACTATACAGCTGGAATTGGTAATGTGCTGATTATACAAGTTGAAGTTGGCAGATATAGCAATTAAAAGGTCAATTTCTGTTTTTTTGTTTTCTTTTTCCCAAGGATTGTACGTTGGTATTAGATTCAAAATGTTTAGCATGATTGGAAAACATAAGATGTTAACTAGATTTAAGTTTGACGCAAAACGATGAAGGGAGAACCATTGACTATTTTCCTGTGTCTTAGCAAACAAATGAAATATAAGAAATGCCTTATTGTAAATTATTTCTGTAAAGAAAAATAAAATAATAGTGCCTTAAGACCTTTAACAATTTATAAACCAATGAACACAAGAATGAGAATATTAATAAGAGGGATTGCTTACAGATGGTGTCAGCTTTGAACTATCTGATCCTACTTCATAGATTAAGCGTCGAAGATTTTCTTCTGCATCAGCATTCAGTATTTTGCTATTTTCAGGTCGAGATTCTCCCACAATGTTCCCTAGAGCATGCAATGCAGCCTACATTGCAATAAAAATGTCTCAGAAATACAAAACCAACCATGTAAAATGGCCAACAAAGTCAAAATGGCAGGTTAAACAAATTATATGACTTTCAATCTCAGACCAAAAAACTAGAAATTTAGTTCTTTATTGTTGAGTATTTAACAGTTAGAATTTTTGATTTTCCTCCCACATAAAATGAAGAAACAGATCCACCATATTAACTTTACTTCAAAAGTTATCACCTAACACAAAGACACACAAATAATGACCAAGCTCATTAATAGTACCATGATGACAATCGGCAATAAATCAAACCACCATGCACATTTAGATAATTAACATAAGAAACAATTTCAATTTAGAGGACAATTAACAAACGCAAGCAAACTGGTAACCAACTATACTATTGACAGAGGCCTTTAAAAACCATGGAAACCATCTAAAATGTTGAACTTCACAATAGAGTAAAACATATTTGTATTGTTAATGCATTTTCTATGATTCTGAATCAAAGAACCTTTACATTGTTTAATTCATTGTGTACTGAAAATAATAAGAAGGTTGAATTTGGGAGATGAAACAAAGTGATAGGATTAAACATGCTCACCAACTGTTTCCCATGTCCTTGCCGATCAAAGGCAGCATGAACAACATGCCTCACAACAGGCAGGAAACCAGATAATAGCAGTTCAGCTCCTTGGATTGCTAGAAGCATCAACAAACAGTAAGGTAAAGAAGCAAGATCAATTTTCAAAGAGGAGCTGTGAGCATTTAGTGGTTCAGTGTAATTCACATAATGATAATTCTCAGACAGTCTGACATACTTACATGACCCTATTTGACCCAATGCTTCAAGTGCAGATTCACATTCATCATTGTCTTGACTTTCAGATTGGGCAAGCAGTCTATCAATGGCTGAAATCACAGTTTTAGCACCCAAGCAGAAAAGAAAAGTTATTAACTATTAGAAAATCACATCCTGCCCTACATTTATAAAAAAATTAAAGGCTAAAGATCAAGCTTGTGCTTTCCACTTTTTACATATTATTTACAAACATGCATACAAGTACTTATACAGAATCTTTGGGGAAAGAAAAAAAGAATTAGGACTTTTAAGCAATGAACTTTTCTGACACTCTCAGTGAGATGTTTTGATCTCCTTGCCAATAGTTTCTTTTTTCCCTTTCAATTTCATGATCCCATATGAAGGACCTCATAGGAAGCTTAAAATAATTTATGACTCTTAAGGATTCAAAAAACACAAGCCTTATCCAATGAATAGAAAAGACAAAGGAGCAAAGACAACAAAATAGATAACAATAATAACACTATCATTAACAACCATTTACTCTTCCATGGAAGACCTCAAAGTTAATAGAGGCAATTATGCAATCCACTCAAAGAATGAATATCAAAAGAATTCAGAACTCAGAAGCATAAGCCTTACTAGATCCATCGACGAACATGAATCCATTCTCCTTGGATAAAAGCCTTCCACTTATCATCATTGCTCTTGATCTTAAAATTGCTTCCGTTGAAGTGTTGCTAAAAAATGTAAAAATAGGGTCAAAGTTTTTCTTTTCAAAAAAAGGGAAAAAAAGTAGGGAAAGGCCCTCCTAAAGGACATAATGATGGATCCTTGACAAGAACTCTGTACTATGCTGACTATTGAGCTATTAGCTCTCAATATATATACCTGATTATAGAGCTAAGCAACTGCAAAAGCGTGGTCCTTGACAAAAACTCTGTACTATGCTGGATTTCAGCCAACTGCAATTGTTGACACAAATTAAAACCTATATGAGCTAGTGAACAACTGAAAGACAATAAACAAGCAATTATTGAACATATCATAAGTGAAACTGTGTGCATTTTCACTTATTCAAAATGCTGTAGGCACCTGATATAGCAGAGTTAAAACCTGAAGCTTACAACAGAGCTTAATTTAAATTTGATGAATTTGTTGAAATCAATGAAACTGCTAACAAATAACATCAGAAGTTACAAACAAACTATTCATGAAAGCAACTCCAGCAATACTTTGAGTTATATATGCCAGCACAGCCAATTAATTTTTGAGGAATCATAATCATTGCACAAAAACACTCTAGCGTAGCAAATGCTAAACTAGTCCAGATCTAAAACCACATATCTATCTAGTCATAAATTCTATACAAGGAAAAAGCAATGAGAGAGAACAAAGTCATGGAAAACTCGGTTAATAAAGGCAAACCTCAAACAGTAGCTCCAAAACACTTAACGTCACAAGGGTGTCTTCTGAATTGCTGATTTCTGCCTCCAATAAACTCAGAAGATTTGAATTGTAAATAACTGATGCCACAGATTTGGAAATAGAGAATAGTTTCACTATCAAAGACAAAACTCGAACACGTCCCTAGACAAAGGTTAACTAGGATTAGAAGGGAAGCTACAACAAATAAGCAATAATCTATAGAGTGGACTATAAAAATAGTGATAGAGTTTATGTTGTCCAAGATAATTAGAAGTTCAGCACTGCTATTCTTTTTTATAATTAAGTGCATTACAATTTCAAAATGGAAACATCTTCCCTTGGGGGCTATTTATGCCTCAGCCAACAGATGCTAGGTTAACTATTAAGTTCAGCAACATATTAGTATCAGACATTTAAGAGATGTGAATGCTGTCTAAAGTAGCCAAATGTAAGCATTGAGAAGAAAAATGGCAACAATTTCCAGAAAGCTGATACAGGAAATCTTAGATGCCCATAATACATAAAAATTAATCAAGGAAGAATATGGATTACTAGTCATACCAGTGATGAAGATCGTGATGCTAGATTTCCCAGATATGTAACTTCCTTGTTGTTTGCTGGGAAAACAACAGCCTCCACAAAATTTGGAAAAAAAGAAAAACGAAAACCATGAATCTAGTAATAAAAAATGCATTGATTCATTGTATTTTTGGGGGAGGCCTTACCATGCCTTCTGGAAAGCCAGCTATACATTTAATTGCATCAATTGCTGCAGCTGCAACTTGTTCGTTGCTAACAATGAGTAACTTCATGTTAATTTATGCATGAAAATTTCTTTAAAGAACAGAATGAGAGCAATAATATGATTCAACCAGAAGAAACCAAAATTCTAGAAAAATAATAGACAGAAGAAACATTGTTGACATATCCTTCTCCCATTTCTAAGATTAAAAATTCAAGCCTGTTCTTTACCTTTTGATCATGGTGTAAAGGAATATCTTTTGAAAAGTTTGGTTGGAGCTGTCACTCAACTCATACAGGAGAGATAAACACAAATCATGTATCACAGAACAAACTAACAAATGGCTTCTTACCCAGTAACTAGGCTGTCCAGCAGAAGTGGATAGATATTATAATCAATAATCAACTTTATGGGAGGAATAGATTTGTCATCAAGATTCTCCAAAAGATTTGTAACCTGCATAGTTATAATCGATCATGTTGCAAGTTAACTAAGCTTGTAACTACTACTGCAACTACATATGTAAAAGGGTTCAATGTAACACAAATATTTTACAAAATGTCAAAGAAAAATAATCAAAGATGTTTTGTACATACCGTTTTGCAAGCTAAAGATCGTACTACTTGAGATTCTGCCTGCAAGCCTACATGTACAAAAGACTGGAGAAGGAAAAAAAGGGTTTTAGCTTCAATTTCATTTTAAACATCCAGACGTAATAGTAATGAAAACCATTTTCTAGTCTGAAGCGTTTTAACAAATGAAGCATTAATTCCAAGGCTAACTTATGCACAGTTCAATGTCAAAACATGTTAAAAATGTTAAATGGGCTACTGCCAATGAATATTGATGAGTATTATTTGCTTAACCAATAACCATGATAAAAGAATAATTGCCCATAAAAATGCTATAACTGTGGATTAACTCCACAATTTCAGAATAATGTACGCAATCTATTTTCTACAAGACTGTTGCATTTCCACAAAACTCAGCAATTTAAGCAACATTGACAAGATGACATATCTTTTCCATCCAACATCAATATGCATGTTTGTGATGAAAATGAGACTCAATGAGACCATCTTTTACATACTTGAAGTAACAAATGTATGGCTCAATCCACATAAATAGACTGTAAAAGGGGTTGCAAGAAACACATTCAGAAGGAAAAGGAACTCACTACAGACTCAACTTACAATATAGAATTGATCAGCAGTTGCAGGACCTACATACAAGTTATTACTACTGACAGCAAAGAAGTCAATTTACAGAACATAGAAATGCATACCATGTACTGTGGGATGAACGAGGAACCATATTTGGTCTTAAACACCCTCTCTAAACAAGTAACAATAGCGTTTTCTAAACCGGGGAAATCAGCTTTGGTTTGTAAAGCACTGCAAAAAAGTTAATAATTATAAAAAAAATGGAAATCACATACCATCATGGATAAAGTTTTGTTCTTTCAATTCAGAAAAACAATCCCAAATGACATTAACAAACACAAGTATGAGTCACGAAGTAGAAAATACAACCCCTCTTTACAAAAACATGTAGTAATGTAATGTAAGACAATTAATTTATTGATTTATAAACGATAAAACCCAAAATCCAGCACTTCTTAAGCCCTAAACCAGCCGCCGACACGAAAAGATCAAATATTTGGAAGAAACAAAAAACAGAAGAAAAGAAAAGAAAATTACTTGATGATGAGTGGGAGAGGAAACCGATCAAGAAAGTCCTTAGCGGCGGCGTCGGTAAGAGGACCTGGGTAATATGCGAACTCGGAAGCTGACTCGACCAACCGAGTCGGATCGTCGAGAGAGTACTCTTCCTCCATGGCTTGCTGCCGCTTCAAGCTTTGCTCTCTTCTTCCTT